CAAGAGTGCTGTATCTCTCTGTCCACCAGAGGTAAACAATGTAGGTCTTAGTTTAAGTAAGAGTTTTACGGCACTTGCAACACAATAAGGTCATATAAGAGCCGAGGATTAGTGGTGTTACAGGAGAGTAACAAACATAAAAAAGAAGGAGGAGAGATAAAGACGATAGTTGTTTGGTAGGTAAGAAGGACCAAACTACACCAGACCACCCGTCAACCACCCATATAAACAATGTAAGATCCCCCCCCAAAAAAATGAAAAAAAAAGAAAGAAAAAAAGACAAAGAAAGAACACAATCTAAACACAAAAGTACTCACATCATCTTGCTTATCCTCCTCTGGTTTGTTATCTTTGCCAAGTACACTCTCCTGAAACAGTTGGAGACAGGCCATGAAATACGAGGCAAAGACAAACACTATCTTTGACTTTTAAGCCCCTTTCAAAACAATGCACGGCAAAGACCTCTTGCTGCAGAGGCCATGAAAATGGGGCAAAACGCAAACATCGTTTAAGAGTTTTGGGCCCCTTTAAATATGATGCAGGTTCTTCACGACCCCTTCAAGATCCCTCGAACAAACTGTCTACATCTGACATAAAGCAGATGAACAATTTTCAAGCAAACCCCCCCTCTCCCCCCCTATAACATCAGACCTGAAGAGAATTTCATTCCCTTTCTAGGAAATCGAGGGCAAATAAATATTGTAGTAGCAGAAAAGAGATCGCAGGCGGTATTGCATACAGAAGTAAGTCATTTTTGGCAGCCTTTGAGATACGTCTGTATGCAATACTGCCCGTGAGATGTGCACATTCAGTTTTACTCTCTACGCAGCCTCATATTGAAAATTTTACAAAGTGTTTTCACAAAACTTATCCTTCAAACCCATGTGCTCTTTGAAGGGCTACAACCTTTTACGGAAAGATTCGACAGCCCTTTGTAAAAGCGCAAAATGTTGAATAAAGAGGAAGCTTTCGAAATCACCAAAAAAAAAAAAAGCCCTTTTAGAAAATAATATTTTCACCATCTGACCAGTCTTCTGAAAATTTTCTATTCAGTGTTAATTGCAGCGTACTGAAACTCCACCTTAGACCTGTTCTAAAGATGATATTGAACTTTAATACAAGGCTGAAAAGAAAAAAGGAAAACATACCTCGTTTCCTTCATTATCATAGACTATCCCCGTGGACCGTCTTTCTCTCCGGTTCCTACGTGCTCGAACTGCTGTAAGCTCCTTCTTTTCTTCTTTGCCTCCCTGAGAACCTGGAAAAATGCAATGGGCGCACAAATTACCTCGCACTGTCTTACAGCATGAACTAGAGCAGCTTTGATGCTGTCCTGGAGGTGAAGGAAACTATGTCATCACAACCACAAAAGCCATGTTTAGATAAATTGCACTGCTCACTTGGGCGAAAGGGGGGGTGTAGGACATACAGAGTATGTTGTTACAAGATGAAAAACTTGGTTGTCGTTAAGAGCAAGACAAAATTCAAAGGAAGACCATATCAAAGTTAGAAACATGATACCGAGGGTAGAAAAATGGTCCATTAATAAAAGCCCAACCAGCTCCTAGGAAATTTGCATAGAAAGTGTGGTACAACAGCACACACTGTCACACATGAAATAAAAAAGCTAGAGTGGTGGACCTTGTTGCGAAATGGACAAAGCCACTGTACATCATTATTAAACCTTGTTGTCTGTTTGTGTGAGTAAAGAAAAGCACATCAACACAATAATGATCATTTAATGATGGTAAAAAGACAATGTACTTGAAAAAAACAAAACAAACTTACTGCTATCATCCTTCTTGGCATCATCTTTCTCTTCGGCTCTGGGTGTAGTTGGGGGGATGTCTGCGTCCCCATTCCGCAGCCGGCTAGACCGTAGCGATGTTGACCTCAGAAGACCTTGACTAGTAGAGGATGAGGATGCGGAGGTGGGGTCTGATAGGAGGGCACTGTTTCTCTGACTTCTAGGGATGTAATCTGAAGAAGGAAAGAAAACAAAATACCTCAAACGTCAGTCAGAATGCCAAGATGGGATCAATTTTATGAGATCTAATACAGTAATGACGCCAGACATACCCTTCAACATTTCGTAGGTCGCCTGATGAAATCGTGAATTCCACACGAAGCAAATTTTACAGGAGAGAGAAAAAACTGATTTTCTCTGTCATTTGGCGTTCAAGACATAAGCTAAATAGATAAATCTAGTCAATTACCTTTCAGAAATAATACTGTAGTACATTTTTTTTATCGTAGGTGGTCATTTTATCGAAAAAGTGTGGGATTCACGATTTTCATTTTCTAATCCCGCCTGATGCTGTCGGAAATTCCACACAGGTGTGGAATTCACGATTTCATCAGTAGGCTTTTTGAAACGCGCCGTTGTATACACGGTTGTTAGGCAGTGTGTTTTCTCCTATTAGAGGCCCTGAAATGTTCAAAAATATATGAAAGCACGAAATACTGTTAAACAAAAGATTTTAAAAGATCAATTTAAAACTGAATATGAAATTACAGACTGAGTGAAACGGAAGGCTATTAATTATTTTACCACTATAAACATCAATCATTCTTACATGAAGGGGATAATGTATGTAATTTATGAAATCATACTCCTTCATTTATGTGCTCTCTCTCTTTCTATCCTTCTTTCACCAAATGTGTGTAAGTGTATGTCCTTTTTTATTGGAATGGGGGGTGAATGGGTAGAGAACTTGATTTGTTTCAGACTTCTATACCCCGTGAATGACTGAATGATCACCTTTTATGAACATACTCTTTTTGTCTCTCAGGTCCTGAAAATTACTCTTGGCGATTTTTAAAGGAGAATGATACAGTGGTGGGAAACTGTTTCTTAAGTTTTCCTTGTCTCTGGACTTTAGAAGACTCCCATTCTTCTTTAGAATTCAGTTTGCAAAGAATTTCTCCTTATGTTTATCAGAGGCTTCATATTGCATTGACAGTTTGGTCTTCTTTTTGTCTACCCGACCTGGCAGTTTTGTGGACTGCAACTTTGGCAAAACCATGGAGGAAAATGTGATCCACAAATTTCACTTTATAGGGTCTTTGTTGATATACCACCTTGGGCCTTGTGTCTTAAGTAATCGATGACTCCATAGGGCTCACATTGAAGATTATGTGCATGCTTCTGAAACGAGCTGGGGGAATTGATAAACAGTGCTAAAAGTACACCCTGGAGATTCATACAAATCATCTCAATGTCTTCTTGCCTAAGAGCAAATGTTTTATCCTTGGTGTGCCCTTTCTTTGTCATTTTCTTTTCTGACATGTGAGATTCCCACTTAGTCTGGCTGACGTCGTCAAGACTCAAACCTCACTCACAATTCACAATGATCTTTTTTTGGTTTATAGATCAACATGTTCTTTTCATAAAACAAATATTTGAGTAGTCTGACATGCAAGGTATATTGTCCCTGACCTGTGCAGGCTGTTTCGTAAAACCAATGAAGCTCCGATAGAATACAGAATCATGGATCAAGATACAGTTTTCCAGAGCTTTGCTGGCAATATTTGGGGGGAACCTTCAGATGTGAACAGAAACTCCTTGGCTTACGTGCCCTTTGTGGATTGTCTGATGGTGCAGCTAGGTTGGGTTCTTCCAAAGCACTCTTTAAAAAGTACTGGAGGATCCAGGTTGTCATCTACATGTGTCTGAGGAAGTTCCTCAGGATCAAATGGACAGAGTCACCAATGAGGAAGTATTAAGCAAAAAAAATCTTCTTACAGAAGAAAGCAGTGGATATGGATAGGACTGAGCATACCATCATGAAATCAGGCAGCAACAAAACAAAGAAAGTTTTAACTTGGGAGTCCACAGGTTAAACAGTCAAGGGAAGGCCATGTGGAACCTGTAGAAAGGTCTCAGAGAATGATGAACAGAAAAGTGGAAAGACATTTGAAAAACATGAAGAAGTTAGCCCAGGGTAGGGAATAGTGGAAAGGGTTTGTCCGTACGGGGTGAGCCAGGCGATGCTGCAGTTGGCATGGGCTCTTCTAGAGCAGTTTATGAAGGGTGAGCCCGGTCATAGATATCAACATCATTAAAACTTTTATCTTCTGGCTACTCAGTTTTAAATAATACCTGTAAACCCAAGTGTGTGCCTTTCAGCTTGATGTATCGCCTTTGCTTAAATTGTACTCTTTTCGAGCTGAGAAGACCGTTCACATGGGTCTTTCTGTCTCCCCATGTCAAAGTCCAAACGAAGAAAAAGACAGTTGTCCTGGCTTTGTCTTTTAATAGAGAGTATTTATCTGATTTGGTTGAGCAATCACATCTGGGTTTTAGTTCATTACTTTTTTAAAGTCTTATCTTTTGATTTGTATTGCTTATTGCTGGCCACACACACACACACAAACTCTCTCTCTCTCTCTATGGCTAAAAAAGCACCTTTGATCTGTTCCAACGCATCGTATACTTTGAATGACACTTTTCTTTCATTGAGATCTTTCATTGGTTCTTCTACTATTTCCATGTTGGATGTTCTGCAGATTTCTTTGATGTCTAAAGTGGTTCACATTGCTCGGCTTCGCAAAATTCTTGTTCTCGTTAGAGAAATCAAAATTCAGTGAGCTTTCAATGTCAAACAAGTTTGAATTGTGATACAACATGGAAATATACTTGTCGTTCATACTTGACTAGCCTATGTTCATATTTTTTCAATGGTCTAGAGAGGCGTTCACGCTGCCAACGGTCAGCCCCGCGAGTGTTAAACCGACTGATGAGATTGTGAATTCCACACAGGTGTGGGATTCACGGTTTCATCAGGCGACTTTTGGGGCACGGTGTTTATTCACGATTTTCTTATTACGTCAGACTACACGTTTGAGTCGAGATAATTGAAAAATAGTTTTACAGGGAAATGTATCTCACCGAGCACTATCAAAATATACAAAAAGAAACCAACAACAACAACAACCAAAAAAAAAATTTCCGAAAATTTGTGGAATTCACGGTTTTATCAGGTGACCGACGATTTTGGAGTTCAATATATTGGTGACATGGACTTTTCTTTGGATATGTTTACCGTTATAGTAAGTTTAACAGCACTTGCAACACAATAAAGCCACATAGGGGCCGACAATTAGAGGTGTTACAAGAGAGCAACAAACACAAAAAAATGAGGAGATAAAGATGATGATTTTTTTAGTTTTATCACCATCAACAATAACATGTACGGTCAAGGTGAAAGTAGTATGGAAGAGAGCTCAAATCACACTCACTCGAGGTAAGGTCTGAACTGGAGAGACCTGATGAGGAATTGAGATCTCTGTCCTCTCGGGCCCGTCTGTAACTACTCCTGGTGGGTGGGGCATCTGCTGAAGACGTCTGCACAAAAACATACAAAACGCAACCCATAAATATAATCAATAACAATAATAATACAAATGATAATAATACTAATGATAATAACAATAATATTTACTGTGCAAATTCTCGCTCAACAGAAAAGCTCTATGCACTTTACAATTTACAATACTACCCCATCCTGCTTTCAGCATAAAATGACAAAATTTGAAAAGGAACTGGTAATAGAGAAGTCCCTAAAAAGTTACATTTCTCCGACAATATTAACATTTGCACAGTATGAAAAACCCTGAAAAAAAGTGACCCCCCCCCAAGTTAAAATTTTCATATAAAGTGCAATATGGTACGCAAAAAGGGATCTGAATAAGTGTATAGAGGCAGGAGTATATTACAAAATCTGGACAATTCCAGAAAACGGTATTTCTACACTTATCCAGAAAATCGGCACCTCTTGGATTCATTTGCCCTCTTTCACCTTTAATTTTAACAGTTTACTACAACTATAATGATATTGTCGTCACAACAACATCATCGCTCGTTCACCTTTAATTTAGCTTTAACACTTTGCTACTATCTAATTATAATGATATCATGGTTATCACAACATCGTCGTCACAACAACAGCAGCAAGTCTTACATCAGACTTGTCCTCGGTGGCCCTCCGCCGGTATCCAGACATGATGGAGCGGTCCTCCCTGGAGGAGGAGGACGACGAGTCCCCGGAGGGCACGGCCGACGAAACGCTGGAGGAGGTGGTGGTGGCCGTGCTGGCGGTGGGAACGCCCCCTGTGCTGGAGAGCACGTGGTTGCTGTCCCGGTCCAAGGCGCTGCTGCTGCTGATGATGCTGCTGCTGCTGCGGGCCGACGAGGCGGGGCCGTCCACGCTGTCCTTGGGCACCTTGGCCGGCTCATTGGACCTCAGCGATTCCTCCGCCTTCTCAATGTCTTCCAGGCTCACGCCCTGAACGTAAGGGGAGTGGGGGGCGGAAGAAGTAGAAGAAGAAGAACCACCACGCTTTTAATTCAAGCGGCCACAGAGGTAGAGGCAATACAGTACATGGATCAGGTGGAGGAAAAGATGGAGAGAGTAAAGGGTAAAATGTTAGGGTTTTTTTTCTCATAAAAATCCAATGAAGCATGAAATCACCATGACAATACATACAAAAATATTTCTCTTTGCTCTCTCCTCTTGATAAACTCCATTTTGTTGCCCTAAAGCAAACACGACTGTTTGGTTAGGAATGTACAGCAGTCAACCTGTACATAAGACATCACGCAACCTTGGTCCGTAAGGAACATGTGAGCAGGAAATATCATTTGTACATGTAACAGCCAACAAACCAACATAAAAAAGGTCTAAAAATAATAGAAGCTTAAACATAATATGAATGTTTACAGTCGGTAGTCTCCATCTTAATATATACATTGGTCACAAATGAATGCAACTATTCAAGAGTCTAGACATGCTAAATACTGCTCTCTCAACCATACAAAGTTGAGCTCACCAGCTGTACTACACAACACTTCAGGGAAACCACCCCCGCACTAAAGGTAAAATTAAGCAACTCAGGAAAGAAGTAAAAATACCAAATTAGAGCACTCACCAACCATGTAACTTGCTTTTTTTTTTTTTTGGAATAGCACTACACAATAATGGTCATTAATTATTGAAAAAGAGCAAGATGGACAGACAGAAACAAACAAAAGAGAGAAAGAAAAAGAAGAAGGACTTAACAATAGCACCCTCCAACCACCTGCACGTAACTTACATTACATATTCCTGGAACCATGTAACTTGCTTTTTTGTTCGAATAGCACTACACAATAATGGTATCTAATTATTGAGAAAGAGCAAGATGGACATACAGAAACAAAAAAGAGAAAGAAAAAGAAGTAGGACTTAACAATAGCACCCTCCAACCACCTGCACATAACTAACATAACATATTCCTGGAAGAAAATTAAAAGTGAAACAAATGTCATGAGAAGATACTCATTGAGACAAACAGACTTCAGCCATTCCCCCAAAACTCCGGGACCCATCGTTGTACCACTATCCTACCTGTGTTGATCGACGAGTCTGCCGGGCGTGTTTCGCTCTCGCTTTCCTCTGAGTTTCTGTCTCCTCATCTCTGGTAGGTGGAGCAAACGATCTAAGAGCAGCCACAAGTAAACACATGAGAAACTTGGAATGTTGTTGTAGCAGCAACCTTTTCATTCACAAATGTCTTTCAGCTTTTGTTCTTGGTTTTAGTAAAGAGTTTTACCGCACTGTTTGTTTTAGTAAGAGTTTTACTGCACTTGCAACACAATAAAGTCGTATAACTGACGAAGATTAAAGGTGTTACAAGAGAGTAACAAACACAAAAAGGGAGGGGAAATAAAGACGATTCAGATTATTTCAAGAAAGACTTGAGGTTTTTCATTAACAATCCTAAACAATACATGTATTATTGTCAGTTTTCACAGGCTTTTGAAAAGAAATAATTCAACATTACACTAACAATCTAGTAAACAACATGTAAACAAAACATTCAAAAGAAAATGAGAATAACAGACAGAATCAGGAATTTGTTTGCAAGTCACTATTATTCCCATGAAGGGTTTTGAATAACACTCAGTCTTTTCATCATTGACCCGTAACTCAACGAGAATGACACAATTTTTTTCACTGCACATCTTCCAAAGATGGCAAAAATAAAGTTATTTGTGTTCCCCAAGGGAATCCGAGTCACAAAACTGTAACTAAATGAAGAATGATTTACTGATTTACTAACAACATTCACTACAGGAAACTGACCACACACCCCACAAAAAAAATAAATAAATAAAAAAAAATAAAAGAAAGAAACCACAACAAAATATAGTTGACAGGAGTTGAGTCACTCTTCACAATGGCAGAAAACAACACTCTTCACAATGGCAGAACACAAGACAACCAAACTATTACTACAGAAAAACAGGTGAAAGCTCTTTGCTTGATGCTACTACAAGCATTCAGTGAAGCCAAACCTGGGAACACACACGCAGTCTCATCATTTGTTATCACAAACAAGGACACATTTTTAAAAGAATTTAAAAAATGATGACTTAGAGATACAAACTTAATGAAGCACATGAACACAGCATGACATGAAAAACAAAACAAAGGAGTAAATAAATATCAAAGAAGAAAGAAATGCAGTTTCCAAAAATGTAAAAGTTTATAAATTTCTGGTGCTCTCTACAGAAGTGTGTGTGGGTCAAGGGAGTTACTTGCTGTATAGTGTGTATAAATAATTGGTGATTGGACCGTTTCATATTGCAAAACAGCTTTAAAAAAAATCAAACAAAATGTGGAGTAAAAGGGTTTGTTCTTTTTCTAAAAAGTTTTTCTGAAGTGGAGAAATAGAGTTCATACATTCTACCACCCCTACAAAGTATGACGAAAGACACAAAACAAGTTAGAAGGAGATGCCACACCTGTGTCCTACTCTTGGACCATGATCAGTTACGTTTAGAGAGACATACTATGTGAATACGATTCTAGGAGGTAAATATAATTTAATTTAAAACGTTCGGGAATTGAATTCCTACTTATAATACTGTTTGTGACTCTTCCCCAAAATAACTGACAAAGAGAATTTGCCAGCAGTGCTATACATTGTAAAATTAGTTTCATAGATAGCCCTTGCAGCTGTGTCCCATTACAGATAGAAAAGACAGCTGTTGTACTATGCGTCACCGACTCCCAAGTTTGAAATTTCAATAGCAGCATGGCGCATGGCAGAGACATTGACGGGATCCCACGAGCGAGCTCTAAAACACAGACAACTTGAATGTATCAAAGGAACCTTCCTCTCTCTTGCTTCCAAACAAAGACTCCTACCCCTTTTTTGTTTCGTTTTGAGTACAATCATTTTTGGTTGAATGCTGAATCTCTGATTACATTATCACGTAAGTAAGTGATTGCAGCAAAATATCTTCATTCATAGACACAAAAAATTAGGTGATGGATTTGACAGTTATGAGAGGAAGAGGAGGAGGAGGGAGGAGAGATGCAAGACCAGCAGGAACTGTAATATTAGTACACACCTTCTGAATACTGAGTTGGTAGTAGAGGTGGTGCTAGAGGTGTTGTTGGAAGCGGTAGTGGGGTTGGCGAGGGGCGAGGAGGCCATGCTGCTATTAGCACCGGAGCCATAGATGCCCGCTGCCTCCTGGTGACCACTCAGCCTATTGCTAGTGCTACTAGAAATTGACGGGCTCAACACAGAAGCCGAGGAGGATGCCGTCGTTGTTGCGGTGCCGTCACGCTGTTGCTGTAGCTGCTGCTGCCGCTGATAATAGGGCACGTAGTTGCCCGACCTGCTTCCATAGTTGCTCCTATATCCTAGGTAACTCTGTCCGAACGTGAAACTGTTTCTACGGGTCGTGCAAGTGAGGGGGGAGCAGGGTATGGGGAGTTTTTCAGTTCCAGTATTATTTCGGGAGATGTTTCACACGTCCAAAACATTTTTGTTTTAGGTGGGGGAGGAAGCAGGGATTTTGATGGCGCCACACATTGGGTTTCAGGAGATGGGTGGTGCAAAAGAAGAGACAAACAAAAAAAATAACACATAAATGAATGAAACATGCATAGAAAATCATGCAGAAAAAAAATGTTTGTGTAAACAACTCAAAACACTACCTACAATATCATTTAAAAGAAATCACAAACAGCTTACAATATCCTATCAACAACATCAACGACAAAATAATGGGAGAAAAAAAAACAACAACCTATGCAACAACAATAAGCATCTGATTCTCCCTCATTTCAGTTTATAGCTTATCAACTGCTCACCCATAAAATACACTGTCAACCAGAATCTAATTATCGAAGACAGGAATATCATACTTGGCAGATCTGAGATCTCAAACATGGGCTCTCAAAGTATAACAGCTGATGATTTCAACGTTCATACCATATTGACTATTTTCTCAAACTCATTTAACAATTGACATTCCAAACATTAAACTAATGCACCAAATATAAATTTTAAGGAGAATAAAAAAATCCTGCACTTGCAAATTGTCCTTTCTGATCCACCACCATTGCACTCTTTGTTCATGGGATTCTAGAAATTTCTACTCACGACTTGAAAAATTGGGAGCATAGAGAGAATATAACAAAATCTTTCCTCTCATTCTGAAACAAGCTTTTTCTAGGAATTTGATTTACACTTGAGGGCGAAGCTTTGCAACACAGCGCACATGTGCTAAAAGAGACAACAATAGCTTCTGGGACAAACACCTTTAGCTAAACTGGACCAAACATTTTAGCCAGTGGCCAAATGCTCAACAAAGCAAAAATAGAGATGATCACAAGGGGAAGTTGTGATGTTAACAGAGGAGAAAGCTAGTCAAGACTGATGACAGTACATACATATATATTTAATACCACGTAGATTCACAAAGAATAACAATATTTTTTTTAAAAAAAACATTTTTTAAAATGTAGATAAAATATAATTTGACTTTAAAAAAAACAAAAACAAGTGAAATTAAGTAATGCTGACTGAATGTCCTGACCTGGACAAAGACTCCTGAGTTCGAATTGAAGAGAAAACTAACAATATTTTAACCCATTAATAGAATTTCCTTTCAACTGCTTTTCTCAATACTTATAACTACTTTTCTCCTACAAACAGATTGACAGCAAAATGAACTTGAAAATGTGAGTCCATTACTTTAACAAAACCAAAACAACTTATTTCATTAGGAAACTGAGAGTGTGAGGGTTGTAAGAAGTGAAATTTTTTTTAATGGGCGAGGAATTAGACAAAATGGGTATGAAAAAAAGTTAACAGGTGCTAATAAATTAAGAACCATCTATGATATAAAAACGAAGAGCGTTTATTTTTCCTTACTTAATGTTACGGACTTCATCCATAATATTATCTGCTTTCAACTTTTAGTGTAGAGAAGAGACTAAAAACATAAAGGGAGTGGACTGTACACACAAGAAGTAAGGGAAAACAGGGAAGCGTGAGTTGATTTATTTGTGTTTTGTTGACAATAACCAAAGAGAACACGTCTGAACGGTTATAACCTGAAACAAGGACAGATGGCGAGTGAAACATGGAAGCTGTGACCATTATCTATACACCCTGATAGTTGTCTCAACTCAGAAAGAAAGGGACAGCGATCAACAAAAAACACTAGTGAGAAAACTTGGTTACAGCGTTAGTATACCTTCTGGCAAAGATTGACCTATGCTGCATCAGAAACTCACTGGAAAAAACGGTTTCACGATGCTCAACATGGATACATGACCACACCAACATTTACAGAACTTCTCTTTGCAAGAAACTTCACAGCGCAAAACAAAAAATAGGCAACTAAAATGATTTAACCCCCAAAAGTGAGTCAAACATTGTTTTGGTAAGAACTAAAGATTCAACAAACTTACGTTACAAGTTCTAAACTCCGACAAGTATATATTATGTTTTTAAAAAAATCGATCAAAAAGAACCTCAAGCTATTATGCTCTGTAACTTAAAACTTATAAAGCTATAGTTCACATAAATTACAGAATGTTCAGTTAAAGCCACACAAATTTAAACACACATTAATACGTTGATATCTCAAATAAAAAAAACCATTCTTAAACAAGACTCAAAGGATGTGAGGTGCGTAATTTGACATTTATGGTGCATTTTGCCGATTATAAAAGTGCACAGAAAACTGCCATATAATGTATATATAAGAATAAAAATATCGGGCATAAACCTTAAACCCCAAATTTTTCCTCATTCAACACACAATCCCGAAAAGAAAAAAACAACAAACAACAACAGAAAAACGCAACAAGTCTTCACAACAGGAAATGACTGACAACACAAAACAGCGACGACATATTCACAAATATACACCACTGGGCTGGACAAAACGAGCCCAGGATGACCACTGACCTGTCTCCGGGGCGTGAGTCTGTCTCTGTGCTGGAGGTGGGTGTGCCTGTTGTAGTTGCTGAAGTCGTGGAGCCCGTGCTGGACAGCGGGCGGCGTGCAGCCAGTCGCTCTTGGAGCTGTGGCAAAACCAAGGGGGGTGGGGTGGGGTTGTATCTCCAATGAACATCATCACTGTAATTGAAACTTTTTTGTTTTCTACCATTAATTTTATTCTTTTTAACCTTTTGCTTTGTTTCAGTCTTCTATCCAGAAGGGAAAGTAAAAGACTACAAGGGCAAAACCCCAAAACATAGACAACTATAGTTGTTTCAATTAACCAGAGACAAATTGATGGGATAAATAGCCATTTAGTCAGCCCTAGAAAAAGGAAAGCTAAATTAAGTGGTAATAGATACACAGGTAATTTCAATAAAGACAGAAAAACAACTCTCTGACCACTGGATGCTAACAATAAAGGTTTGTTTGTCACTGTAAAGAGACAAATTCCATTACTTTGGTCATCATTTGGCTCTGGGAGAAAAAGAATAACAGAAATAATAGGAGAAAAGGTAGGAAAGAAGTGGGACCTATCACTGACACCCTCCTCTTACCAATCACAACAACAGTGGTGTAGATTGCAAGGAAAAAATATTTAGAATGAAACAGCATAGAAGAGAATAGAAGCAAAACCCATTGATATGAACTGGGGGAACAGCTTTGGCCTGACTTGGGACTTGCACTGACACCAGTAGGTCTTGTTGTGCTCAGGAAACAGAGGAGCAAAAACACAAGATGGACAATCAAAAGATGAAGAAAGAAAGAGAAGAATAAAATAAAAATATAAACCATGCAGTACATTTACTGATCTCAATGAGGGTGCTCTTCAGAAAAACCGAAGGCCGCTTTTGTGCAACTTTTACTCCCTTCATGACCCAAATATGTCATTATGAAGGAGGTCAGCCCACATCGTGAGGTATTGAAAGGTCAATTTTTATCCACAGATGAGCATGAAACAGACACAGAGAGAGAAGACAGAGAGGAAGAACGGTGAAAAGAAAGCCACTCCCTTGAAAGTAAGGTGGATCCCTTCAGTGGTGGCGCTCTGTCTGTGGATGACAGACCAATTAAAGCAACGTGCCGCTATACTTTAAAAGAATAACTTGAGCAACATGTAAGAAAAAAGAAAAGGAGAAGGGAAAATCTCATCTTAGCGACCACCAACAAATCTACTGACCTGGTAGAAAAGAAGGGACAAGTAGAGATGATGCCGGTTGAATCTCCACATGGTCTAAATAGATATTTGAGACATACCGTTTGAGCTCAGGCAAGTCCAAATCAGAACTGCAGTCAGGAAATAGCTCGGCAAAAAGGAAGGCTCAAAAAGCATAGCCATAGACCCAAAATACCTGAACTGAGTACAAAAGCTGTTATGCTGCATGGTTGTGCTGACTGCAAAATTGCAACAATTTCTAATCTCCTAATTAAGGCTTACTAGCATAAAATACTTTAATTAGAAGCCCGCCATAAGGTGTGATGAAGGAGCACAAGACAAAACAACACAACAAAAATCAGAAGTAGATAAGCGCAGCAAAGAGAGCCCGACATGAAAAATCACATTACGCAACGAGAAAGCAATTTTCTCTGAAAAAACAGGACTGACAGGTACACATTCAATCCACTTTACATAAGAATCAACAACAAACAAATTGAAAAGAAACCATGCAACTCGTCCATAGGATTATGCCACTGTGGTCTCTTCCAACTAAAAAAAAAGACATTTAAACATTTACACAGAACAGAAGTTCCTTAGATAACATAGAACAAGCATGTTAATCGTTATATTTTTAAAGAGTGCTCGAGTGATTTGGTGCATTGCTACAGAAGCATTTGCCTTGTTTAGCAATCATGTTGTCAAGTCCCCCCCCCCCACCTCAATCAACCACACCATAATACCATCACCAGTTGTCAAAATAAAGAATCTTGTTTCGGTGCTTGAGTATGTTATTTCTTGTTGTGCTACAAGAGAAAGCAGTCACAGTGGGTTAATAGACCCCCCCAAAAAAAGTTGAGTTAATGATGACCTAAAAATCAGAAGACGTGATAACAAGAAGCATATCAACTTGAGTTTTTCCTTTCACTAAAAGAAGACAAAACTCCATTTTTGTGGACAATCGCAGAAAAGAGACATTTTTCATTTAAACAGGAAAGCGTTTAACACTCTTTGCACACAGGACATATTTGAACAGCACATCATGCAACAGATCTCGTGTGAACACATTAGAAGACACTGAATTACAAATTAAACATAAAAAAAAAATATTTTCAAAAGTAGAGTAGATTTTCATAAAGCTCTTGACAAGACATAGACATCCCAAAGAAAAAGAACATGCCACTGAAACAAAACCTACATAACTATTCTCTGCATGATCAGAACTCAGCAACACAGCTCAATGCAGTCATGGTGCTCATAGAAGAGAAAACAAATTGGAAATTCTACCACACAGCACACAGAGCAAGAGACCTTGCCTAGTAAGTGCACGGAGAGAGAGAGAGAGAGAGAGAGAGAGAGAGGGGGGGGGGGGGGGGGGGGTGTGGAGTTAGTACTTGTCTTTTAACTCAGCTAAAGAGCTTAAGATGACTTCTGCATCACATAAAGCTGCCACAGATTACTATATTATCTTTCAATTTGAAATCTTTCTTCCTTCTGTCCAGCTATCTACAACACGCAAGAAAAGATCAACTACCAGACGTGATATGACTGAGAGAAATTCCTTGTCAAAAAGAAATTGCATTTTGCATTCGACGGCCAAATTCAGCTACTCTATGAGGAATCCTTACCACTTATTTGACGAAAGAGATTCAAACAGCTATCATTCAAATACTGTCTTACCCAGGGAAGGTACAGCACTGCAGCCCGTGAGGCGCATTTGTGCCTTCTTTATTTAACTATTCTATTCTGTCAATCTTACTTGAAAAGTTTGAACAAGTGGGTGACGCGAAAGACCAGGATGATATTGGATTGGTTGGGGTTTTTTTTTTTGCGACCAATTGAGCACCGAAATGAATTGTGAACCAATATCACTGATGTCTGTTGCAGATTTGGCACTGAATAATAATTCTTCTGATCACTCCACAAGACACCTATAACTGACTAGAGCAAGCCATCTTCACTTACACGGTCTAGTCTGCTGATCACCCTACAAAGCACTTCTAATTCATTACAATGAGTTTTCTTCACTTGTATATTCTACTGTGCCTTCCTCTAAATGTTCTAGTCTGCTGATCTCCCTGCAAGACAGTTATAATTTATTACAAAGAGTTTTCTTCACTGATATATTCCACTGTGCTGCTCACTCTACACGACAAAATTTTGACAAAGTGGAAAGCCCTCACACTCACAGCATCTAATCTAGAGTCGTGCACCAGCCGGGGGCTGGAGGCCGACCGCGGCAGGGAGTTACTGTCACTTTCTGCCATCCAGTCATGGACCATAGAGGAGCTGCCTGTCTTCCGCAAGCCCTGGCGCCACGAGGGCACCGAGAGCTCGTTGGCACTGGTCGCAGACGGGCTGGAGGGAGTTGTTGTTGATGTTGTTGTTGAGGAGGTTGACGAAAGCGAGGAAGATGCACCCTGAAGCAGTGGACGGTGCCCAGGTTTAATTGTTAGGTCAAGGGAAAGGGGGGGAAAAATGGAAGGAAAAAAACCAAACTCAAAATAAACCAAAATAAAAGAAACGCTGTTCAATGCAGGCAAGATGCATGATGCTACTGAAAACACATGCTCTATTCACAATCCTTGCCTATTGTGTGTTAAGCATTTTTTTTAAAGTTTAAAACAAAATATTTTAAAAAAAATGAAATGGAAGAGAAATGCCAAACTCAGATCCCATCTTGTTAAAAAATGACTAAAACCTTAAATTATGAGAGGAACTAAACAACCGCACACAACTCAAGAAAAAGAATAAATCAAATATGTTTTTTATAAACATCAATAAAACGTAGAAACACAATAAAAAAGACTAAATAAAAAGCAATTACTAGGACCATAACCAAGGAGTTTAGCATTCTGCCATAGAACCATGAAAGTTATCGTCCATCCTTTCTTAAATGGCTCTGCCGTAATATTTTCCCAGGGTCACTTGTCCCCTTCCATTGGGCAACCAAATTTATAGAAAGGCAGACAGTAAGGAATAAAAACTGCAAATGATTTGAGATTTTCAAACTAAAACCATGGAAGTGAATGAAGTCATAGGTCCGTGGAAACTTAGCATTAGCAGAACTAGTGTAAGTAATTATAATGCCTTTGTGCTCAAAGCTCTTTGATCAGAAAATAAAGGGACATATGCGAAAAAAAATTGCATTCTTCTGTTGTGTCTGCACAGTGTGAATCTTAGACAAAGTTCTGAAAAAAGCATTGCTTTGCTTCTGTTTCTAAAATTGGCAGAAAATATGGGAGATGTAAACAAGCCAGGCAGAGCAGCTAAACATTAAATAGCAATGTTTTGTACACGACTTGAAGGAGAGGGCAATTTTTACTAAAAGCAAATGTGAAAATAAGGAATAATGATCTCTACTTCGCATAACTGATAAATATTGTTACAAAACTGTTCAGAAGGCAAAACATATGCTTCTTGTAGACTAAATGAATATAAGAAATTGCACAAACTTAAAAGGTGATAAGGAAGCTAAGGGCAGTGCTTTCTATAAGCTTTGGCCACTTTCAGAATGTAAAAGACAATAAAGAATGCCAAATATTAAGAGTATATCAGATAAAACGTCCTGTTCCAAGTCACAGAGGCATTTTAACAAACTCCTACCACCCCCTCTTTTCAATCACGTCTACCATTACAATTTTTAAGTTTTAAAAGAAAATGTTCTAGACTGAGGAAGACAAATTACATATAAAAAGTTAGCAACTTTAAAGACCTTCGGCATCATGTACATTTTCTCAAAGTACACGGAGAAGTCAGAGGTGGCCAAAGCTAGCAACAAAAATGGTACAACGAAGGCAAACACATCAAACAAAATGAGCAGGTAAATATGGAGCAAAGAATAATAATGAGTCATAGCAAAATAACAAACAAAAAAGAGAGGGCAAAAAGAGGGGCATACTTAGATAAAAACAACTTTTTCCCTATGTCTGGAAAAATGGCAAAATTAATCTAAGACTATGCTAACCGGACACAGACAGATTGATGAAATTGATTTATAAAAATTGGGCAATGTGAAATCCTTAATTGAGAAACTTAAATCGCTGGAAGAAATTCTTCCTTCACCAAAACCGTTGCACACAGAAAAACAAATGGGTCTGTCCTTGTGACATATTTGAATGTCTTTAAAAAAAAAACCTGAACCTTGGGTCGATCAACAAATGAAGCAAAAACAAGCCAGGGAGGGCAGATACAGGGAAACTGCAGAGGCAGGGGATGGGAAGAATGAGAAAATTATACCCCACCCCAGAAGAGAGGGACAAGGGTGTATAAGGGGAATCTCAAAGGTTGTATAACATGTGGAGAAGGCTAAGCTGAATTAAAATGACCTAACACAGTCGGATGGCAGATAGGCCTACCGCTTCTTTCAGAAATGATAAACTCTTTTCATCAACAACACGCTTGTCTGACACTGTTATCCCAGTATTATGTCAGCATTCACAATTCTAACTAAACCATTATCTAGGTAAACATCAACTTTGTGTGTGTGTGTGTGTGGGAGGTGGGGGGAAGAGATTATGAGATAATATGAAGACTCATGCTATTAATAATCATTTTTGTTTCGTTTCACACTACATGTGTTTTTTTACTACGGTACAATATACACCTAATTTAGAGCCGTGGGCGTTTTGGTGGTACAGACTAGAAACAAGGGAGTACGTCGTATCATGTGCTGTGAGAGACGATGCAGTTGATCTGAAGGGAGGGAGGGAGGAATGTCGTCGGGTAACTAGGGGCAAAAACCACACTCACCTTCTGGGTAGGCAGACGTGCAGGGACGCTAATAGAGCGAGACACCAGGTCTCTAGCGGAGCTGACAGGGCTGCTGGACTGGCCAACAGAGGCCTTAGGTAAATGGAGGGAGGGAGGGTGGGTGGGTGGGAGCGAGGGAGGAAAACAAAAGAACGGAGGGCTAGAAAAAAAGCAAGCGGTGGTAGCGACGGCAACGGCAGTGCTAACTGACCCATTTGCAAAATCATAAACTTGAATGATAATTTCTAAAACTGATTGATATAGATAGAGAGAGAGGATAAAATAAGCATATAAAAGTAACGAAAAACCAAACCAGTGTGCGAATAGACATAAAAGCAGTACACACAAACACACACACAGAACAATCTTGCCCATGTAGGGAAAATAAAAATAACGATCCACCGAACTAGAACAATTTTCATCCCTTTCACAGCGAGACACAATAGAACAAAAGACAACTTGGAAAGCCAAAGATAATTCATCTACATCCTTTCCTAATATGCTAAGCTGTGCAATGTTTTTTTCACAAGATGTCTCAATCATGCAGTAGATCAATCAGGCAGCTTGTACAAAGTTCAAAGACAAACAATATCATGTATAAATACGTATTTAACCAGAGTTAAACAATTCTCTTTTGAAATAACCCTTCCATTAACCATATATCCCCTTTAAAAAACCCAACAGAGAATTAAGGGTCTATTTTTTCAAAGCATGTGTCATTCCCAAAAGCAGACATGCCTGCAAAAGCTGGTGATAGATATGTTTGTGACCTGACAGGAATAAAAAAAAAAAACATTAATTGCTTTCGAAATGAGACATCCTCACACTGAAACTTTGGGAACCTAAATACAGAACATTATTAGGGTTTAAAGAAGCTTGTTCTTTCTATTCATGACTAGGACACACACAAAAACCTTGAAAATATCTCTTTCAGGCTTTCCATCAAAGCATTTACCATCTACCACTCCACCTTCTTAAAAAGTAAATATTTAAATATTGCACACAAATTAAACAAAACAATCAATGTCATTCCACCCATGGTATATAACAAACAAATTTTTCAAATCCAATTGCTTTAACCCTCCTAGTTCATAAGCGCGGCTATAAGAGAGCGTCACAGAGAAAGTAGGAGGCCAGAAGGCAGCCGGTAAGTGCTGCAAGCGTGGGGCTAAAAAGGCTGAGGATACATAGGAAAGCGCAACACCATACTATTGGGCGCGAGAAGTGGAAGGATCGGTGGGCCCTTTCTAACAGACGTGACCGTCTGAGGCGCAACTGAAAATGGAACGCAACAGCAAGGACATTTCATCAAAATGTGTCTCAACTCAATATAGCTCACGTCCTTCAGACACTTAAAAAAAAAAAAAGGAAGAAGATGAATGAACCTTATAGTCTGCAAGAAAAATATGAGGACATTAGAGACTCTTACTTTGCAGCAGTCCAGTTAAAGTCAACACAATTAATGTAATGTTTAAAATATTACTGCTTTCGAAAAAAAAAATTTCTACTAGATGAAAGAGTACTAACACCCCCCCCCCCCCCCCCCAACAGGCTGGTCCTAGAGCTTTGGATTTCAGGGGATAGACAGGCTTTTTTCATCAGTTTAGCCTCTTCGAGATCTTTACTACCCATCTAGAACAAGTATAAGACAGCTTTCTTCATTGTTTTGAACACATGACACACACACAAGAGCCCTACTCCCGAACTACAACTGACAACATAAACACCAAAAGAGAGCATGCAACACGTAACACATAACCGAACAAGGATAGGATATGAAATAATGTCTCGAATAATAATATCCTGCCACTAAAAAGATTCTGTGAGGCTAGTTATAACTATCTACAAGGATGATAATATGAGCGTTAAAGCATTAGTCTAAGAAAAACAAATACATCATGCAGTTGAATGTGTAAAGGAGAGCGTTATGTGAAATAAATAGCAACTCCCACAGCTCACTACCTAAGTAATGCAAGGTGAAAAGAGAATTAGAATTAGTGTGCCCCACTTCACCCACCAAGAAAATGCATAAATTAAATTATCATAACACTGATTAACACCCTACCACAATCATTATTAGAAAGGGGGGAAAGAAAAGACATGTTATCTCCATTTGAAGGAAAACGTGCTGCGGGTGTAAACACATTGTCAGTGAACAAGAACATGATAAACCAGTTTAGGGAAGAAAAAAAAAAGAGATAAAATCATATCAGCATTCCGTAATTTAAAACAAACAACCATCTGACATACAGGGAAGCACAGTGATAACAGCAACCACTGAAGTACAAGACATCATAACGTAGTCTAGAGAACCCAACTGCTGGCAGCCAGGAGGGACTTACTTGTACGGATGAGTCATTATTTAGATCTGCAGCTTTGTCAGAGCTCGAAATAGACACACTAGGCTTGGGCGATAGAACAGATGTGTCAATACTGCTGGAGGAGGGCTGGGACGAGGAGGAAGAGGAGGTGGTGGAGGAGGAGGAGGTGGAGGTGGAAGAGGAGGGTGGGGACAATGCGGTGGTGCTACTGGGCGCAGGGGGCTCTGCTGCTGGGGTGGTGGTGGTGACTGTCGCCGCCGGCAACGAGACGGGCACTGATGACGGACGCTCGAGCTCTGAGAGCTCGTCTATTTTTGGCATATCTGGTCGTCGTAGCTCTGCGGTGGGCGCCGACGAGGCGATGCTGGACGGGCGGGACCACGAGGATGAGGTGGTGGAGGTGATGGAGGTGGTGATTGTGGCGGCCGGCGAGGGTGGCTGAGAGAGAGGGCGGGACGGAGGTCACAGAACAGGGCCCAGCACACAATGGACGCACAAACTTTCCGCAGGCAAGGGGAAAAAAAAAAGTTTTGCTCTCCCCAATACCCTTTCCTAGAGGTTTCTAGCGTGCAAATGAATTCACTTTTGTTTTCTCTCCAGCTCCTATCCTTAACATTCCTGGCAGGGGACATAAATTAGACCCACTCTCCCCCTGAACCTATCTGCACAGATTCCAGCTGTCAAGGAAAAACTGAGGACTACTCTGTGCTAACCCTACCACTCCATCAAAACCCAGACAATCATCAACTATGGGGAAAATACACTTCTGGGCACACATACCCTTTGTGAACTGAAAAGGGACATGGCATGTTGGAGAAAAGGGGGGAAAAAAACCACACACACCCACAACAGTCCCTCTAAACCTGAAAATGCTCAAAACCAACTGTTTTGAAACACAGCACAGCACTCGATTTTAAACACTAGGGTGGGGGACAATGCGGTGGTGCAACTGAAACTCACAGTTAATTTTTTATTTTGTACCATGGTTTTCACACAAGGAACATAACTCATGTCTTCTACACCATAACCTCACAAATCCATTTATTTAAAACACTGTTGAAAGAAGTACCTCTTATCACCCCAAAATATTCGCAAAGCCACCGACAGCTTTACCATGTAATAAAAAGTTAAGACTTGATTTTAGTCATACTGACCATTCCCTTCACTGAAAATCCCTTTTGATAGGTTTTATTCGAAAACAATTTTTTTCATACCCATCTCCCGATCTTCCAGTTCATTCAACTACTAGAACACCATAAACAGTTCATAATACCACTGAAAATGTCTTCTCCCCAAAATTTTTTAATCATCTATGACATAAAAGGAAATGTATAAAGCAATCAAACTGAAACCAGCACATGGGTTACTGTATTTATGCTGATCAACATAGATCACCAAAAGAACCAAGACAAGAAAAAGAAAACAACCCACAAAGATAGTAACAATTATAAAACCGTAATTGTTTCTCCTGTCGTTAATGAGTTAATGAATACATGGTGGAGTTCAGCAAACAACAGTGCTCACAGTAGAAATGAGTCGAATGTGTGTATGCGTGTGTGTGTGTATAACACTCAATACGACATTGATCAGTCCAACGTGTCCAAGACTACCACCTATTGTCAAGGACAAAAGTGGTCATCTTAAAGTGTTACTATAATATGTGCCAAAAACGGTGGAATTAGGCACTAGTCAATTTTTGGACGTGGAGTTATTGATATCAATTTAAAGCTTGTTCATTTGCCTTGCTTTCGATGAATAAAATACTCAAATATAATGAATAGCAGTCCAGATATTTGCAATTGAAGGAGGTGGGGGTCGTCTGGTTTCAGAGGTAAAATTAGCGAGAAAATGGCGGCCAAAATGTGGCGACTTCCAAAGCTTCAGAGTCCTCAGAAACTGCAAATACACATTTATGAGTTTTAAATCTACATTTTGCAATAAAATTAACCCAGAAATGTGTTTTTAAATGGACCTTAATGGCGTTAAATCAAAAAACAAGAATTCAATATAAATTGCCATACGTACAGTAAAATGCCAGTTTCTTCGATTTCATTACTTTGACGAATGCCTGATTTCACCATGATGTCTCATATACAGAAACAATGAAGTCTACAGGGGGGGAAGTGGGAAGTGGTCATTTGTACTGGTGATTGTCTTGGACAGGTGGCCATTAGGGAGATTTCAATGTATTTGTTAGTGTCTCAATAGAGATTACATGTGAGGCATGTTGACAAAATGAGCTACTTCTCGCCATTCAGGAATGGAGATATCGGCTGAAAATCGACACTGGGGTCAGATTGATAGATTTTCAATTTATGCCATTTTGGTAAAGTCTACCATGTCTTTATTTATCTATACTCACAAATTATACAAACTCCACCTATGGTTGATGTATCAATTTCCATAGTGCTAAAATCCGAGGAGCAACTCATTTTCTCAGCACATATTTCATAAAATGAACAAAAGACGTTCGTGACCCTTCACTTGGCTTTAAATATCTCATTCGGTACTCTGAGCACTGTTGACACTGACAGCACAAAATTGGCTGGTACCAAAAAAAATAATTCATGACATATCCCACAAGAAAGTCAAGCCGCATCTACTATAGCACTAGCTAAGAGCTGCCCTTAACCCTGCGGCAGTGAAAGCAACCACTTTCCAAAAGGCCTACAGCAACTACATCAATTCTACACATGTGATACTGCGTGGAATTCACAAAGCAAAGATATCAAATAAACTAATAAAGCATCATAATCTGAAAAAAAACTGATCAACAGAAACTAAATGTTTCATCATTTAAAAGACTTCAAAGCAAAAATTTCTTTAAAGAAATTTCAACTCAACTCACTCAGTCCCGGGCTGCATTGCAACTGGGTACACTTTGCTGCAACCATTTAGCATTACCTTTATAAACTGGACAACAACAAATATTGGCAAAAGCAATGGACCAGGAAGCTAACCATTTCATGAATCAAGATATCTCGATTTCTGAGACTAAACAGTACAAATTCCTCAGATGTTTTGACCACGGGACTGCGTGAGTTCAGGAAACAAGAGAAGTACTGGCTGTGAAAAGCAGCGTAACTTTAATGATAACCATGTTTCTAAGTGACCAAAGTAAAGCAATTCCAACTCAGTGCCATAGCAAATGAACACCACGATACACACGAGAGTCCTACCTGTGGCTGTTGAGACACTAGTTTGTTCTTCTCGTTTTTACGTTCTGTAGACAGAAAAGGATGAACAAAAACATTCTCTATTGGAAGCACTAACATGTAATAAGTTCGTTCATGAGTTTCTGACAATGACCAATGTATCCACAGAGGCGAATACTTCTTTAACAAAATAGAAGAAAGAAGGATTAAGATGACTTGTGGCTTCTGTTATGGTCATTCAGACCAATTCCAGCAGACAAGCATTGTGCCACATTTTGAGCATTAAAAATTTTCCTTTCCACCCTTTGATGTACGCAGCTTGAGGGCTGCTCTCTTGGTTGCTAATCGTGGCTGAAGCACTGGCTTACCACAACAAAAAATATGTACTCATTAAAAACATCTGGCCAGCGTGTGGAAGCCGACAATAATTTCATAAAAGGAAAACAAAATTAACCAAAGTATATAAAATATATAAATCGTGTCTAGCACAATAAAGCCAAGTCCAAAATTTCTCCGTTTCTTTTTTTTTTTAACACTTTGATTTCTTTTATTAGACCTTCCAAAAGGTGTACTACTAATTGAAGTAAACACTTTGCATCCCTAAAACACATGGACAAAACTTTGTGATGAAATATTTTAATGATATTTTATATACGCTCCTTCAGAAAAATTAGCTGGCATGGACTTGGCCTGTTTTCCCCCAACACCACCAATATAAAAAAAAAAACAAACAAAAAAACCCCCAACTTAAAACAAAAACAGTAAGTTGCTACAATACATTTACAGTTGGGAAAAACTAAAGCTGGTTTTTTTTTAAAAACAAAAGTTTTAACATTTACAGTAAACATTTCTTTCTAGACTTTTTAATACAGCTGGTCAGTGAAAGAGGACAATCCTCTTCAAATGATATCTAGTTTTCATCCATAGGGGGCTGATGCGTTTGCTAGTAGGTCTGTAATTTCCATCATAAGCAGAAACCTGTTCCAATTTATCTTATATTCAGGGTGTATTGGAAGCAAAAAAAGGTCTTTCTTTAATGATCTGAAAAGTTTCTCTCATTTCTTAGCATGTGGAAAAACTTCTTTTAAAGCTTACCCTAATCAAATTATTATGACATTTTTTTTTAAAAGAGAGAGAGAGAGAGAGAAAAGAAAAGGAGAAAAGACCTAAATAAAAAAAAATTAAAAGTTCCTACACTCACCTGTCTCGTTTTCTTCTGATATCGTCTCAGCCGTGCCAGCAAGGTTGTTGTGAAGCTTCTCCTCTGTGTTCTTGCTGGGGTGATGGGCGACCAGGGCTGCCCGTTCTTCCTCTGTGTTACGGTGTATAACGTTCTGCTTCTGATCCCCGGACATACGCGTCACAGAGCTCCTAGGGCAAAGGAAAATGTTATAACACAATGGTTTGCACTAACTTAAGTTAAGAACTGTTAAAACCTATTGGAAATCTAATTTCTTATGATTAAGTATAGCACAGTCAGTACGAACTTCAAGAAAGCTATGAACTCTGTTTTTTGTTTTTTTGTTTTTGTAAAGTGTTTTACGGCGCTCGCAACTGCATAGGTCATATGAGCGCGCGGGACACACCTAATATTTTCAGTTGGTAGGAAATTTTGAATTTTGCCCGGGTGGCGGCCGAAGCCTACTCTTATCGATTTTAGACCAAGGGATCTTTAGCGTGCGCAACTTGCACGCGGGCCCTCCGAGATTTTTCGCCCTTGTCCGAGAAGGCTAGGTGTAGATCTTTCCCACAAGAAGATCAGGGGTGTGGCAGAAAGACAGCAGTAAGGAGGGGCCAAGGAGTAGCAGTAGAAAGGCTGCAGAGAGAGTCAGGAGCCCAGAGGACGGGGCAAAGGAGGTGAGGGGGTGGGGGCAGAAAGTGGAAATGAAAGCAGACAACAGAACATTGCTAGAGAGCAGGAAAGGAGGTGAAAGGAGACAATTTTAGAGAAGAAAATTTTTTGGTCGCTACCCGGATTCGAACCCGGGACCTTTGAGTGAGAGGCCAACACCTTAACCTCTACGGCTACGAGAGCCCCCCTATGAACTCTGGATGTAACAAAAAATAATAATAACGTATAATTGCTAAGGGAAAAACAGTACAAAATGAATTCAATAATAGAAAAGCTATTACCAAATTAATTTTTAGAACCCCCCCCAAAACAGCAAAAGCAACCATCCACCCCATAAATATAGCAACATGGGCAGGACTAATCTCGTCTTTGAAAAAGAGAAAATCCGCATAAAATCGGCCAGTAAAAACTTAAAAAACAAGATGTGAGCCCGTACAAGATCCAGAATGTTCTCTAATCTCTAGAGTTTATAAAGTAGACTAGATTTAAAATATTCACCTTCGCCTCTGTCCTGGCCCTGAGTGCATTATAATATCCGTGTCAATTTCATGTTTCGTTCTGAGCTGAAAAGAAAAAGACAACAAACATTCAGTTACAAATAGTGTGAAAATGTGACTGGAGACCAATCAAAGGTAAATGAAAGAAAGTACAAAATGTGGAACATTTTCTAAAAAGTATAACTAACACAAGATTAAAACTAAAGAAACTTAAGCTTTTGTTAAAAGACTATTCGTAGTTCTGTATCAATACTGCCGTCCCAAGGCATAGCATTTTTGTTGTTGTTTTTGGGGGGGGGGGGGGGGTTTGGGGGGGGGGGGGTCCCCATTGACTTCTCACACTACGTCTCGACACAATGTGTCAAAGGCAGGGTGACGCGTATCAACATTTGAAACAATAGTTGTTCCAAGTGGTAAAACTATAAAGCAAGTGACTGATCTGCTCAGTCTCATTGTCTATAGAGTAATGAAATACCATATCTATATTTCAGCACAACCACATATAGAATCATTCATAACTCCAGGCAGGTTAACCCTATCCGTATGCCTTGTTTTATTATTGTATCCATACGACGTGGGGGAATTCTGAGCCAACACTTTCCAAAGAGGAGATTTACTCGTTAAACCGATCCGTACGCTTTGCACAGCAGTCTGTCAAAATGGTTTTTTGAGAAATACTGAAAGTTCAAAGAGATCTTCACACTAGAAGTATTCTAAAATGTAAAGAATACAACCGCGGGGCTACAAAATGACCCAAGGGCGTACGGATAGGGTTAAGCGAAAAAACTGTTTTCATTTTTCTCAAAATCAGGAAATGTGCTATCAAAACAATACTTACTGTGGCTTGTTTCTCTTTCATTTCCTCTAGAAGTTTAAGCATGTCTTTTTCTGCTAAGTCGAAAGCAGTAAGACCCTGCAAAGAAATCACATGAACTCTGAAGGTGGCGTTCAGCATCATTAATCAAATGCATGGAGACAAACTTTTGAAATCATAACCGCATACTAACCAGGAACAAGAACACAGAAGGGAGTTCCACTCTTCAAACATGTACAATAAAATAAAATTTTTGCAAAACAACACATATTTTGAACATTCACTCAGAAAAGCTCAGACCCTAGGAACACTAGGTCACATTTCTTTCAAAACAATTTAAAATCAGTACATACACATCACAGGAATTTGCTTCACTGGAGGGGTCAAAAATTGATGCTAGAAATGATAAAAATCCACTTCACAACGCAAGTATCACCAGTTCCCACGAGACTGTTATTTCCCACTTAATAACGTCCAGACCAACCTTTCACTTATATCAAATCGTTATTAGAGTAAACTAAAAGACAGTCCACCATCTTTTCTCTAATGAGCTACACCATGCCTTACATTAATGCTCCAAAATGATAAATAAAGACATTACATTGGACAGGTCTCGGTTTCTTTTTGTCCTTCTGAACTTTCACAATGATAAAGAGAAAGGAGAAGTGGAAGTTTCCACAGACCTTTCTAAGAGAAAGAGGATGGAAATAATAAAGACAGTAGTACAAGAAGAGGAATAGGAAACACTGTTGACATTTTCTATCCCTCTTCACCTTCACTCTCCCCCTTCATTCTCTCAACAACAACAAAATTTAAAAAACCCAAACAAAAGCTTCTCAATAGGGCTGGAGTCTGCTCGATTAATCGAAGGCTTGCGAGCAACGGATGGCTTGTGCCAGAGGCTTGTGCTTTGCCCGCTACCGGGGTTGCTACCCATGGACGGCGGATGGGCTTACTGATTTGTGTCATGACGTCAGAAACTCTTGTTTACTGAGCGCGCGATACTTCTGTCCGCATGCCACACCCTGACAAGCCCTAAATAACCCCTCACACTTCCAGCGATGGCGCTGTTTGGGGAGGGGAGGGGAGGGGGTGGTATGACTGGGAAAGCAAGAGATGTTCGCCACCCCTCGCTTTCCGTAGAGCCCGCCCTTCTCCTTACGCCGCCTGTCGTGAGAGTGTTTTATTTGTCTTGGGTGGGTTTTTTTGTTAGTTTTTAGTTGATTTTGGGGGGTGGGGTGGGGTGGGGGGGGGGGGGGAGATTACGTTTTGCTTTATTGATTTTCTTGGCGTAATTCGACATCATAAATAATATTTGTATAACAGAACATGCACAATACATACATAATATCAGTTACAGTGCAGCAAGATGTTTTTTAAAAGTTATAGGCCTACAATGTAATTAACAATGTGATAATAATATGTGAGGCAGCGTGGTGGAATCAGGCTCTCGTCAAAATAATCAAAGTTAAGAAACTTGCGTTTTTCCGCAGGTTTGTGAATTTTTATCAAATTTTTGTTTTATGGCTCAACACCTTTCATGCCCATTAACAAACTCATTTTTGCGTGGATTTTTCTGAAAAACGTTGATTAAAGGCACAAAAAATGTAAATTTTCAGTTACCACGGACTCTAAAGCTAAGGAAATAACTAATCTTTGGAAGACATTTTCTCACTCACTTTCCCTCTGAAAACAGGTGACCCCCACCTCCTTCATTCGCAAATATCTCGACTTGTATTCAAGATAAAGGGATATTTTTTTCTTCCAAATAAAGACAAGTGAACAAGCTTTAAGATGATACCAATAACCCTAAACGCCCAAAAATTAACAAGAGCCTGATTTCAATACGCTGCCTCACATTTCGTTTTCAACTTTTGATTAATCATTCAGGCGAGTGATTAAATTAAAAGCCAGTGCTTTCTTGTCGTGTCTCCATTTTTAATAGCAGTGAAAACAGCTCATAACAAAATGTGAGCCTGCGAAAATGTCATATTTTCACTGTTAAAGCACTGAGGTCGCGAACGGTCTGCACTAGGCTATATTACAGCCCGCTTCGTCTTGCACCAAAAACCAGTGCAGCCTCTCGCTTCCTCCACGTCCAGAGTTCAGAGTTCACGCAGCGAGCGGGGCGGATTACCGGTAGATCTTGCGGCTCGCTGCTGACGAGCGATGTTGTCCTGATGAGCGGTCTTGCCCTGCCAGGGCGGTAGTTGGACTCAAAGCAAATTTATTGGCACGAGAGCAAGCCCTTAGCACAAAGCAATACGAGACGCAAAGCAGGTCTTGGGACCAAGTGCTTTGCCAATCTGCGATCGGGGTTTGAGTCTTGCCGGCCGGCCGTCCGCTGCTCGTAAGCCTTCGATTAATCGAACAGGCTAGTTTGTGGCGCAGTGACACTGTTAGCGGGGTCTCTCTCTCCCCCCCTCTTTCTCTTTCTGACGTAAGTGGTTTCGCGGATTGCAAGCAGGGAGGGGAAGGAAGAGGGGGTCGGACACGAGTTGCTTCACGGATTGCAAGTTGGTGTGGGGACTTGAAGCTTAGGCAAGACTAAATGTATCATGCTGGTGATTTGATTTGATGATTTGACCTAGTGATTTGAGGCTTGTGACTTGAACTAGGGGCTTGCGAGCACGAGCGTGTTTGCTACCGGGGTACAGCCCTACTTCTCAAACACACGCTTACACACATAGACATACAAAATAACAAAACAAACTAGACAAGCCAACTCAGGCAATTGTAAGTTTTAAAAAATGTTAAAGGGGGAAAAAAAAAGAAAGTCAACAAACACTCAACTGGAGAAGGACAATAAATCTTTCATTTAGAAACCTCTCAGCACATGTCCCTAGCCGGCTGATTACACCTGTTATATTTCTCATGTTACAGCTATCTCCCCTTTATACTTGTTCTTTCGCGCTTTTTACTTGTTCTTTGTTGTCTTTATGGACATTATCTCTAATATCAGAAACAAGTACTCCTGTTCCTTTAAAACGGTACATAGCGCAAAGAGTCAGGTGTGCTGTGGGGATCCCCATTTGCTTTTATCAATGCAGAACTGAATCCATACTGAACAGTGGACGCTCACCTTTTAAAAAAATGGAACAGGAAACCAATGACTTGATTCTGAAGTATTCTATAATGATACATAGCAACTGAAAATACAATTCATTTATCCTGAAGTTCAAAGTCATGAAAATTTGGCTCTATCGTGTTCTTAGGAATACTGAATATTTCCCTCAATTAAATTTCAAAGTCTGGAGAGTGACGACATTTAGTTAAAGATAAACGTAAACTTACTGCGTTGTTCTTATGGTTCATATCACACATGTTCTCTACTAGTATTTTACAGGCTTCATCCTGTCCCCAGTGGGCAGCAGCGTGTAGAGACGTCCACCCGTCCAAATCTTCAGCATTTACATCTACACCAGCTTCCAAGAGAACACTGAGGGAGAAAGAAGAAACAAGAGGCGTTTTTTTTTTTTAAAAGAAGGGGGGTTGGGGGGAGATGCGATGAATGTAAATAAAGCAACCACAAATCAACAACAAACTTATGCAACTTGGTTCAAGGAAAACTGAAGTGTACCTGGGTCATACATGATTCAAATCTTTATAATTTCATTTAAAAAATGAATCAATGATCAAATATCAACTCTTATTTTCATTTATTCAAGATGAAAAACAAATCTAAAATACTGAAAAAGACTGCTTACAAGGCCTAATGAAGATGGGGCCTATCTATAATTCAATAGGTAAAAATCTGACCCACTTGAAAAATCTTGAGTTTGGTATCCTACATGTACCCCCCACCCTCCCAAATCTGAATCAACAACACAAAAATTCCAAACAAACAACAATTAAAAAAACAACCAAAAAAAAAACAAACTATCAACCACAACGGTAAATTACTTCATGACTTTCAAGTAGCCTTTGGCAGCGGCCACATGCAGAGCGGTGGCTCCGGTCTTTGGATGCCTCACGTCCTCCTTCGTCTGGTCCCGCAGCAGCTGGTTGGCGTCCTCCAGCATGCACTCCTCCTCCTCGCGCCGCGCTGAGTCTGCGTCGATACCTGCACACCACAAGTTGTACTTTTAGTTAAAGAGTTTTACGGCACTTGCAACACAATAAGGTCGTATAAGCGCCGAAGATTGAGGTGTTACAAGAGAGTAACAAACACAAAAAAAAAGGAGGAGGAGAGAGAAGGACGGTTGTTTTTTATAGGAAAGAAGGAGCAAACCACATCAGAGCATCCGCCAACCACCCACCACCAGAAGTTCGTCGCTTTAGTAGAAAAAGGTACCTGGCTATAGACAGCGTAACATCTTGTCAGGTTTTTTTTTATAGCGTTTGATTTCATAATTGACTAATTATAACAATAAATAGCATTTGTACTGCGCATTTCCATTTTCGAAAAGATGCTCAATGCGCATTACAACGAAAAAGACATCACATCTTAAAAATTAATTGACATGCGTGTATGTAAATCAAAGTACCTACACTGTATGCTTTCTAGAAAGCCGAGAATGATTCTGAGTGTTTTAAGAGTGTGCTGGGGTAATAATATAGATGGTACAGTGAGTGCACAGAGCGTACCAGGGATATGCATTATACAAATGCAATTTATGATCATTATCACTCTGCACTTAAGTGTGCATCAACAGCGTACAACAATATATAACCTGGACAAATAAATACAAATGTAAAAATAAAGGTCAGTTTCAGCAACAGAGAGCCCTTCATTTAATATTTTAATAACAACCAATCAAAAATCACTCTTCTGTAGGATTGTGTTGGAGCATTTTACAGATACTGATTTATACTGATCTAAACGTTTTTATAGATTATGTCCGAGTCCACCCTCCCATGTGCCCACTTCCACTTAATTACGCGTTAAATGCGCACAGGCAACTACATGTGTCTTCAGCAAATGAGCATCCACATATCAGAAAACCACACGACCCATTTTACGAAGAATAAATAATGACAAAAGTAACAGAGAAAAGAAATAGAACAAGTAGAAAAAGACAGAGTGTGTGCTCCAAACAATAAATAAACTTAAAATTCCAACCTTGTTTTTTCATTTCTTCTGCTAATAGATTTTCCATTTCATCATTCTCTGCAATATCAACAGGTAGGTCACCATCATTGTTGACTGCAGCCACATTTGCCCCATGGTTGATTAAATATCTGGAGAAAGACAATTAGAAGTGCAACTCAAAATCAAAGTTGTCACGCTGTAATGATGATGACAATCATGATGACAATGATAATAATATCCACCTATGTTTAGAATTTATTGAAAGGAACATGGTATGCACCAACGTCTGTCCTGACATATCTGTCACAGATAGGAGACACCATCAGCCATTTTTTTTTGGGGGGGGGGGGATTATACTTAAGCAGAGAGAGGGGGGGAGAGATAGGGGAGGGAGGGAGAGGGGAGAGAGAGGGGGGGGGAGGGACGGAGGGAGAGAGGGAGGAATGGAGGGAGTGAGAGAGAGAGAGAGAGAGAGAGAGAGAGAGAGAGAGAGAGAGAGGGAGGAATGGAGGGAGTGAGAGAGAGAGAGAGAGAGAGAGAGAGAGAGAGAGAGAGAGAGAGAGAGAGAGAGAAATATATATATATTATATATATATAGCCTTCATTTTGAAAGACATTTGTTTTTAGGTTTTTTAAAGTTTTAGTAGAGGTTTTTACGGCGCTCGCAACTGCATAAGGTCATATGAGCGCCAAGGGGTGGATGTCAACAGAGAAGTCCTTACAGGGAATCAGACTTATTCTGCTCACCTCTCTAGCTTCAGCAGCACAAAGTCTGCTAGGACTATCAAGGCACCCTGGAAATAGCGGGTCACAAGAGTGTGACAAACATACAAAAGAAGTACAGGAAAGTGACGATAGTAAGGATTAGGAAAGAAAAAGCAGCAGTTCCCTGTTGTAGTTCAGGCACAGTTATGAGCATGACATTGTTAGATCAGCCCATTTACAATTCTATTGTGCACTAGAACGAGAAATGTCCCCCCTTTGGGAATGGCCTAAAGACACTTCAGTCAGTGGCACCGCCCCCCGGGGGGGCATTTGTTTTTGTTTTCACTTCCAAGTAAGACACAAAATAATGCTTGAGGCAAGATTGTAATGTAATTTTCAAACATGTGTCGAAGCAGTTTGCAAAAATCAAAGGCAACCTTTCATCTCTAGTTTTATAGCCAATTATGATTAAAGAAGACCAAAAAATAAATAAATAAATAAAAGAAACTCATAAGAGCATCACTTTGGTGAAATGAGACTTCTGGAACATAAATGGTAAAGGGTAACCTAAAGGGGGTGAGCACAAGATCAACTTACCTGGCAATTTCTGTGAATGCACAGGAGGCAGTGGCATGGAGAGGGGTCCAGCCCTCGTTATCACAGACGTCCACATCAGCTTCCATCTCCACCAGGAACTCCACCATTTCAAGATTGTCATCTATACAGGCCTGAAAACAACACAAATAAAACACAATTTTGAATGATGGGAGTTAAAAAGTAATGCTGGCATTTGTTGAAGTTCTGAGGAAAGGACAACAGCTAAAAGACAGGAACATACACTGGCATAACAAAGATACACTTTTTCATTGCTTATCAATTCGCTCCATCTTGCTTGAATGAGTCATTCCAAAATTTGGCCCCACAGAGTTCGGCTTCAGCTACAAATGTATGCTCAACCTGACCTTTAGGCAAAAAATCGGCACACAGGAGAACTGGACTTAAGGGGTATCATAAATTGTTTTTTGTTTTAGTAGAGGTTTACGGCGCTCGCAACTGCATAAGGTCATACTATGAGCGCCAGAAGATTAGAGGGGTTACAAGAGAGTAACAAACATAAAAAAAGAAGAAGGGGAGATAAGGACAACAGATGTTTGATAGGAAAGAAGAAGCAAACCACAACAGAGCACCCGCCAACCACCCACAAGTATCATGAATGTATCAACAACATAGTCATTGTGTGAAAGTGCAGGGGACTATGGGACTATGCCCAGGAACACACACAAAAAACAAACAAATTTTAAAAAGTCCAAGACAAAAGACATAGTATTGAAAAAGTATGGGCCAAACTTGTGCTCGTGTCACCATCTTCAAAAACCAATTCATTTCACCAGTAACAGTGGAGGAAATAATGGCCCTAAACAAATGTAAAAACAGCAGATCGAAAGGGAGCAGCCACCAACCGCCCGCCAAAGAGGAAAGTAAATTCGAAGTTTTCCTCTTGCAGGACAAAGTCAAGATGGGATAACGACCATATATATCAGTGACTGAAAACAACGCTTCTATATCAGCTGTATCATTCACTGACAACATAAACTACAGGGCACCGACCAGGCAGATATCAATTTGAGTGCGAATAACTATTCAGCATTGAAACTTCAACAAGGAAAGATTAAACAAAGACAAGCTCAGTATCAATCACTGCTGAAGGGACAAAGATAACAATCCGAAAGCTCAGTTTAGTATGGGTACGAGTTTTACGGCACATGCAAAACAAATAGGTCATCTGACCACCAAAGATTAGAGGTATAACTAGAGTAACAAACAAAGACAAGAAGGATCACCTTTCAGTTTTAGTAAGAGTGTTATGGCACTTACAACATAATTAAGTCATGTAAGCGCAGAGGATTAGGAGTTACAACTGAGTAACAAACACACAATAAAAAAGGAGGAGAGATTTTTTATAGGAAAGAAGGTACAAATCACATTAGAGCACCCACCAACCACCTACAATCTGGAAAGCAAAAGACACAACGGTTCCAATGGAAGAAATATATAACTCAAGCTATGATAACAAGCTGACACCCTGTGCCGGTAACACATGAAGGTGATAAAATGGCAAGAGCTACCACGTTACATCCATTTCTAATAGGAGCACACCATGGCAGTGAAATGATAAGAAAAGTCTTCAGTTAGAGTTAAACAAAGTTCATTATTGATTCATATCAGGTTCTCCAACACTTCGATTTAGCTTAAAGAATATTTGTTCAGAACCCCCCCCCCCCCCCCAAAATTAAGAAGCCACACATATTCAACAGTCAGAGAGTAACTTAACTTAAACTAGTGCATGAAAATAAAAAGCATCAACTCCCCACCCCCTCAAAACAGACATGTGACAAGAACAGCCTGTCTCTTCTTGAACGGAAGAACAGAATTTTTTTAAAAAATCTTCGTAGCCCCTCCCCTATACCCACAAATCTTTCATTATTTTAAGAATGTTGGATACTTCGAGTTCTTGTGTGTGTGCGAGAAAAACAGGGAAGGACAATTAAATATGAGCCAACAACATACCAGGCGGATTAGCTTAGCTGCCCTGGTGGAACTAATCTCTGCTTAAGACTGATCCTTCAATGTGTACCCCCCTGGCAGAGAAGTTGGAAAAAAATACCAACAGTCTACAGCAGACCCAAAAACTAGGTTAATGTAACGCCTAAAGATCAAGAAGCAAGGCTGTCTCATGAGTGTTAGTTTTAGTTTTAATAAAGAGTTTTGCGGCACTTGCAACACAAATTTGTCATATACGTGCTGAAGATTAGAAGTGTTACCTACCAGAGAGTAACATACACACAAAAAAGAGCGAAGAGAGATAAGGATGATCAGATTTGTCTTATAGGAAAGAAAGAGCAAACCACACCAGAACACTCATCAACCACCCACAGGTTTAAAGGAAGCGATATATAATGTTATAGGAAACCAACCAGCTAAAGCATATGAAAAAATAATAATATCAAAGTGTGATTTTCAGAAGGCCTTTCAATAACAAGTTTCTTGAGAAAACTGAGTGTGTAGTGTAGGTACACTTTGCCAAGACAATCTAGATGATTGAGAGATAAAAAGTCAACAGCTGTACAGTAGGCAGTAGTGATATGGGACAACCTTTCCATAGCATTGATTAGGTTAAAATGAAAAGTCAATGAACAGGTGCCCCTCATATGATTTTCCCGGCTCATTCTTTCATCAGATACCAAAACATTTTTTAAAGCAACTGTTTAATCGTTCAACTGCCGATTTCCCTCATAGAACAGCAAACCTTTCTATTTTACAATCTCTCCCTAAGAAATGTGGTCTTACTCACACTTACTGTCTGAGGAGAGGTGGGGGTGAGGGGGGGGGGAAGCAGAATATTCCAGAA